GCTAGAGAAAAATAGCTATAATACATTAATAGCAGAAGCTCCATTGTATGTAAGTGTTCACTACATAATTCATTCAACTTTGTTGTTTGTATGACAAATTTTATAATAAAACGTGGAGGGCCAACACTTCAGGAGGCCAAGACGAGAGGATTGCTTGAGCCCAGGAGTTTAAGACCAGCCTAGGCAACGTGGCAAAACCCTGTCTCTACAATTAAAAAAAAAATTAGCTGGGCTTAATGGTGCCCACCTGTAGTCCCAGCTACTAAAGAGGATCACCTGCGCCTGGGGAGATCGAGGTTGCAATGAGCCATGATCACACCACTTCATTCCAGCCTGGTGACAGAGTTAGACCCTGCCTCAAAAATAAAATAAAAAATGTGGAGAATAAATCTGTTAAGATTTATGACTATGTTTAATTTGTATTAGCAAATCTCTGCCTGTCTCTCTCGCTCTCTCTCTCTCTCTCACACACATACACACACATACCACCCTATTCTCTAGGAATTTCCAATCTCATGTGTAAAGTTCATCAATTTGAATGTGAACATATCTGTGGGAACTTCATCTAGGGGTCCCTTCAGCATGCACAGGAAAAAACATGGTAGTCCCATGACAAGTTTTTGCTACCTGACCAGCGTGGGCTTAGATCCCGGATCTACTACTTTAGAAAAATCTATCTATTCTCTCTGAGTCTCACTCTCCCTATCTGTAAAGTGGCTCACCATCATCCACCTCTGTGAGTTGGTATAAGTTGGTGTGATCCATTTAATCACCAGCCAATCCCTAACCCCTACCAAGTAATCAATACATGGACCCTAATCGGATGGGCACTCAGTGAACAATGATCAATTGGGTTTGCTAACAGGTTAGCTTCAACACACTACATACTTCATTTAGGGAAAACTGTACTTGAGAAATGCCCTATTTGGAAACACACTGTTTTGACATCCTAATTTCCTTCAAAGTTTTTCAAATAAAACCATCTCAGATGAGACAGGGAATGTTCGTGTCTTTTGTACATAGGGCAGCATGATGTGAACCGAAGCAGGCAAACAATACCATGAACTGGAAATGGTCAGGGCGTGAGTGCTCCCTGTTCATTGCTGTAATTTTTCTAATTTTAAACACACAGGCACGCACACGCACACACACACCATTGCCTTTACATTATTGGAAGGTTGTCTCGAAGGGCAGGCTAAATAAACACTGTTACCTATTTGCTCTCTTCTTGTCTCGTGAGGACCTCCCACTCCTCACCCCTCCACGGAGCGTAAGTACTTCATCAGCATTTCCTTGACCGGCACAGAGCCCTGACATGCTGAACAATAGGCGCTCTGTTTCTCACAGATGTGCTCATGCCAAAAAAAAAAAAAAAAAGCCCTTGTACCTCGCCAAGATGAAAACCTTCCCCTCGTTTTATTCAAACAACTATGTTTCAACATCATGCATTCTTAGAGGAAACTGTATTAAGGTAGTCAGAATTGCACATCGCCATCCTATACATCATACTTCTTAAGGAAGTAAATTGAAAAAACATTGTCCCTGGAGATTCTGCTCCCATCTTCTTTGTGCAAAGTCCCCAAAGCAAGATGTTTGGTGTATCCCCAAACAAGACGGGGGTAACAGCATGGGGTTGCCAGGAGGCAGTCACAAACGAAGCCACCAGTGTGCTCTGATTAACCTTCTTTGCCTATTGAGAACATTCCCTTGGTAGTTTCATAAATAGTGCACATTGCTTTGGGAGCACAGCTTCTGATTGAAAGATTTTAATTATGGGTTCGAAGGACACTCCATAACGTGGAAGACTAAGGACTGAGAACTAAGGTAATTCTGCAATGGCCATCCAAATAAGATAACTCGTGAGCTGAATATAAATCTGCATGTTGCATGATGGTATAGCTGGACCTCCCCATGGACACCCTATAGATTATTTCCCCAGTACAAGGGCGGGCCTCATTCATCTTCCCTGGTGGGGAACTGAACCACAGCAGGCATCATGTCCATTAGACTTGGCACCACGAGTACCCAGCACACATCCAGGCATGTAGCAGGTCCTCAATAAATGTTGGTTGAAACTAAATTATAAGGCTGCAGGGCAGAGGTAGCATGGTACAGTGTTCACAAGCACAGGTTCTGGAGCCTGTTGGGTTCAAATCCTGGCTCTCCTGCTTAGACAAGCTATTTAACCTCTGTGTTCCTATTTTTTCATTGGTAAAAGGGAAATAAAAATAGAATAACAATCTCATGGGATTGGGAAGATTGAATAAGTTAACAAATGCAAAACACATAGAACAGTGTTTAACATACGGTAAGTGCTGTATAAACGTTAGCTACTATTTTTATTTTATCAGAGCAGTTTAGCAGGAGTGGGCTTCACATGATACCTTCCTAGGTTTTCCTAGGTGAAAATAAGAAAACTGTCAGGCTGGGTGCTGTGGCTCACACCTATAATCCTAGCACTTTCAAAGACCATGGTGTAAGTGTAAGAATTGCTTGACTTCGGTCCTCGAGAGTTCAAGACCACCCTGGCAACATAGCAAGATCCCATCTCTACAGAAAATTTGTAAAGTTATCTGAGTGTGATGGTGGCTTGCCTGTAGTCCCAAGTACCCAGGAGGCAGAGATGGGAGGATTGCTTGAGTCCAGGAATTTTTTTTTTTTTTTTTGAGACAGAATCCCATTCTGTCACCCCAGACTAGAGTGCAGTGGCACAATCTCGGCTCACTGCAACCTCTGACTCCCGGGTTCAAGCGATTCTCTTGCCTCAGCCTCCTGAGTAGCTGGGATTACAGGTGGCCACCACCACGCCTGGCTAATTTTTCTGTATTTTTCATACAAGACAGGTTTCGCCATACTGGCAAGGCTGATCTCGAACTCCTGACCTCAGGTGATTCACCTGCCTCAGCCTCCCAAAGTCCTGGGATTACAGGCATGAGCCACCACAGTGAGCTATGATTGTGCCACTGTCTTTAAAAAAAAAAAAAAAAAAAGGGAAGAAGAAACTGTCAGAATAATCACTGAACACTACTCCTAAAAAGATCAGGCACATGCGGGGAAGAACAGAAAGGCAATCTCAGGGAACCCTGCTGTACTGGTGTCATTATTCATGGCACTTCCATTCATTCTCAAAATTCTCTCATATTGGACCACAAATTATGTGATCACTCTACACATGATCCACCTTCAGACCCTGGTTCAGAGTGAGTGAAGAATTCAATAATTCTTGCTGTTCCACCAAAAAGTGCCCTTTACAGATCCAGCTGCTCTGATTCTGGAGAACCCATTCTGTATCTTGGCAGAAGCCACTAAAAAATGCAATAAGCAAGACTCTGATCACCCAAGAGTCACAATTATTTGAAATGAGGAGGGACACCCTCTAGCTTCGGTAATGCTGGACCATGGCCTGGCACAGTAGCTCACTCCTGTAATCCTAGCTCTCCAGGAGGCTGAGGTGAGTGGATCACCTGAGGTCAGGAGTTTGAAACCAGCCTGGCCAATATGGCAAACCCCATCCCTACTAAAAAATACAAAAATTAGCTGAGCATGGTGGCAGGCGCCTGTAATTCCAGCTGCTTACGTGGCTGAGGCAGGAGAATCACTTGAAATAGGGAGGTGGAGGTTGCAGTGAGCCAAAATCGCACCACTGCACTCCAACCTGGGTGACAGAGCCAGACTCCATCTCAATAAAATAAATAAATAAGAATGCTGGACCTAGAATAGTGGTGCTTACGAGAGGACTGGCCATGAGGAAAGGCAGCCACACAAGAAACAGAAGTACAGGAAGAACAGAGAAGAACACCCACATCAAAGAAGCTTAGGGTCAGCCACAGCTGCAACAAAGACAATGGCAGCAGCCAGGCTACCATGGATGCTGAGGAAGATTGCAAAGTGCCCTAACTCTGTCCCCCAGAAAGGGGTGGGTCTTGGGAAGCTGGAGTCTTAACGACCCACGTACAATATTGGATTAGTACCTGCATCTGGCATGTAGTAGGTTCCTAACATATTATCCTTCTGAAACACAGCTCTGATCACTCTATCTTTGGCCCTGTTAGCAAACCTTACTCATCTGTGTACAAAACACCCTGCTGGCTCCCAGAGATAGGCTGCGAGAGTGGAAGCCAGGAAGCAAGACAACTGTCTGGAACACCGCCCCTTTCTAGTTCCTCACTTGTGTAAGGAGCTCATGGCTCCTTGATGCCCAACTCTAAAATGAGGAGGGACACCCTCCAGCTTCCCGAATGCTGGACTATGGCTGGGCATGGTGGCTCACTCCTGTAATCCCAGCTCCCTGGGAGGCTGAGGCAAGTGGATCACCTGAGGTCAGGAGCTTGAGATCAGCCTGGCCAACATGGTGAGCCCTCTTGCCTGGTGTTTATCATGTGAACTCTGATATCAGCCTTGGATTTCTCTGGTCAGCAAACAGGCTGGTCCTTTGCCTCCCAGCTCCTCCAGTGCCCAGTTGAAGCTCCCTGCTCAAGACAGGTCCTTTCAGAAGCCATAACTAGGTCAGTGCCCCAGACAGGCACTTAGCGACCCTTCGACAAATGAAGGCATGTGCTTGGCAATAAGACTTGTACCTGATTCCTGAGCTTCCTTCCAAGCAGAAGGGGCTGCACCAGCTTTAACATGCTTTGCCTTTCTGCACATTCTTTCTCCTTGCCAGCAAAGAAAGTCTAAAGAATCTAACTGAGAAATTCAGGGAAAATAAGTTGGTGATATTGACTCAGTGCCTCCCTTTCTGCTAACTGGTGAAAGGGTCTACCAGGGGTGGCGGCCAGCTTTTTCCAGAGACACCTGTGCTGGGTGGTTAAGTCAGCCAGATTCTGAATTTGCAGATCTGCAAGCTCACCTGGCCCCAGAACAAATAAAGCCGAGCTCTTTTCAGACCAGCTTTACCTGTGTGGCTGCACCTCCTCCTTCACAAGCAAGGCAGGCGGGCAGTCCTCTCACTCCACCCTACGAAGCAGAGTGGCCAGGAACATGTATACATCTAAAGAGCTCTTTTTCTTCATAACTTCATGGCAACATGACCTACAATTATTCATTTTTCCAGCCTGAGTTTATCATTAGTCACCTTAATTATGTTCATTCTGAAGCCAACAGGAGAGCCAAGACCAAAACGTTATTGTCTCTGCTTTTATTTTCTTGATGAAACCTCTGGACTAAGCACACATCTTCCTTGTTTATCTCGCTCAGAGGAGTGTGGAGTGCTTCATCTGGACATCCATAGGAAGAAGGAAGACATGAGGTAGGTGGTGCCCTTGTGTTCGCGTCAATGCGGAAGAAAATGCTGTGATCAAACAGTGCTGTGAAATAAAGGAAGGAAGCTGGCTGTCAGGCATGCAGCCGTGCCGCTCCCAACACACTCGCACCTGGGAGTAGACACAGGCTGTTGGTTCAGAGAGGAAGAGTCGATCTTTTTACAGTTAATATGTCCCTGAAATGAATCCACCTTCTCTAAGGATTGCCGTTCTTGTCCACGGTTTTGGAATTCATATGCTCTTCCTTAGGCAGAGGTTCTCAAACTCCAGTCTCAGAGCCACTTTACACTCAGCGATTATCGGGAACCCCAAAGAGTTTTTATTTATGTAGATTATTAGTAACAATATTAGAAATTAAAGTGAGTCTGTAATCCCAGCACTTTGGGAGGACGAGGAGGGTAGATCACTTGAGGTCACAGAGTTGAAGACCAGCCTGGCCAACATGGTAAAACCCCATCTCTACTAAAAATTAGCCAAGCATGGTGGCTGGTGCCTGTAATCACAGTTACTCAGAAGGCTGAGGCAGGAGAATTGCTTGAACATGGAAGGAAGAGGCTGCAGTGAGCTGAGATTGTGCCACTGCACTGCAGCCTGGGCAACAGAGCAAGAGTTGGTCAAGAAAAAGAAAGATAGAGACAGAGAGATGGTTCCCAAGTTTTCTCAGGAAAAAAAAAAGAAAGAAAAGAAAAAAAAGATAGAGAAATTAAAAGAAAACTTTAAATATTCATGTAGATATTTATTTTAAAAGAACAATAAACCCATTACATGCTAAGGTACAAAACACATAGATAACATAAATAGCATTTTATTCTATTTAAAAAAACTATATTTTCCAAAGCAAAAAATTTATGAGAGTGACATTATTTTGCATTTTCGCAAGTCTCTTTAACACCTATGTTAAGAAAAGGCAGCTAGGTTCTCATATCCACTTCTGCATTCACTTTGTTGCAATATGTTGTTTTACTGGTGTAGCTAAAGAAAATTCAGCCTCACATGACTACATAGTTGGAAAAGGGATGACCTCACACATTCTCTGAGAGGGTCCCTGAGTGAACTGGGGCACTAGCAAACTCTGGAAGTCATAAAGGAGGGTGACTGGGGCTGGGTTCTCTCTCTCACCGTCTCACTGTGCTCTTAGATCTTCATCCTACTCTGCTCTGCCCTCTTCCTTCTCAATGTAAGTAGTGAGGAAAAGTCACATCTGAAAGTGTCTTCTGCTGCGGAGGCCTCCCCTACCCATGCACTGCTGGACTGCCAAGCAGAGCAAGGGTGAAACCAAACTAGTACTTTGCCTGGAATCTTATGTGCTATGAATATCCGCTGGGAACTCAGGGCAATAGCCGGCAGCTTATTGCATATTCAACTACCTAGATGTCGGTTATGGCTTTTCCCATCAAAAATGTCCTAATCCCTTCTCCTCATCTGCTTTTTCTTTCTTAGCATCATCCAACAGTCTTCCCAGCTATGTCTGTGGGACACAGGTGGTTTACAATATTTACCAACCCGTGATTGAGGCTCATCTGCAGAGGGGAAAAACATGCCCCAAAAAGAGACACAGAAACCATCCTGAGATTTTAAGCAGAAGCAAAGAGGACAGATGAAGAGTGTGTGTGTGTGTGTGTGTGTGTGTTTCATATGTTCCATTATCACTTCAAAGAAATTATTTTACGAAACGAAATATTTTGGACCCAGAGTGGAAATTGAAATTCCACTTAAGGATGGTAACATCCACGTTAGGGACCATTCCTAAGATCTTGTAGATAAGCAATCTACATTATGTATAAGCAGTCTTGCTAAAAGTTAGCCAATGGGCCACCAAATCATTTTACTTTTTAACCAGCATCTCTAAGATTGTTGGAGGGCATCAGATTTCCATAACCTGAGACTCCTTGACTTTCCACTTTTACTGAATATTTAGCTGAATAAATGATGCTGGTTCAAATATCTCAAGCAAGACAGTGAGCCCATGCCTCCAATTCCAGAACAATGGCATCTCCTGTTCCCTTTGTATAGTAAGATTGCTGAGCTATCGGAAACGCACGTGCATCAACTCATAGCAGTGGTTTTCATGTTTGTATGAGTGGCCTCAGCCACTACCCATCATCAGATTCTGAAGTGTGTGTATTCACACAGCCCTCCATCCACTCAGCCAGAGAAGAGGAAGAAGCAGCTTTTCTCCCCCTGCACCCATTTATCCTAACCCTGCTAGTGTCTTTCCTTCATCCCTTCTTCCTCCCTTAGAGCACCGAAACTTTAGTCTTATAAAGAATTATACCCTGCCCAGTCTCTGCCCTCAATAGACCTATGAAACTTTCAGTACATTATAAAGAGGCTAGGCACAGCAGCGTAGGCTAATTCTCAGTCACCTTTCATGCTGCTAAGTGCAAACAAGCATTTTTTATCAGCTCTCCCCTCCCCAGCTTTAGAAAAAATTATCAACCTCAAAGAGCCTCCGGCTCTCTCTCACTCTCTTTCTCTCTCTCCCTCTCACTCTCACTCTTACTTTCTAGCTGCAGGGTCAAACCTCTCTTCATTCTGGTTTGTGGGTAAGAGATGTGCATTACACATTCTTGGGTGTAGACATGAGTGTATAAGCATTTCACTTCCTTTTTTTTTAATATCCTACCCTCATGCCTCTGTACCCTAGAGTCCCTGTTCCCCTGGGATGTCCTTGGTAGCCAACTCCAAACTCTACAGGAAAGAAGAACAGTGCTCCTGCAGCCCTGCACCACCCCCCACCTGATATCTCATTAGAAGGGCATTCAAAGAACATTAGCTGACAAGGCTCTTTGAAGAATTTTTTCCATTCCCGTTAGAGTATCTTCCCAAAGGGAGATTCAGATCACTGCTTTGGTTTGTTTAGTGCTTTAACTTTAGTTTGCAGCTACCCCTTTGCAGGGAATCAATCAACAAATATTTAATCAGCACCTACTATGTATCTATCACTCCCAGCCTCTCCAAGTGAGAAACAAGAGAAACTAAAGCATAATCTTTGCCCTCAAGGAGAACGTGACCTACTTAGGAAGACAAAGCTAACACAGAACAATTAAATGCTACACAGTGTGGATCTAAATAAGGGAGAGAGTTGTAGAAAACTGTATCCTACAAGAGACAGAATTTGTCTTAGGACTTGAAAGATGGATAGGATTTAAACAGGGAAAGGAGAGAGGTCACTAAAAGCAAGAGGAGTTTGCTTAAGGAGGGGCGCTAAGGAGAAGGCACCAATTAGGAAGAAGCTAACACCCTGGGAAGTCTTGGGAAAGAGGCTGATTAGAGACCAGAGTGTGGAAAATCAGAGACTTCAGTAGCTGGGTGCGGTGGCTCACGCCTGTAATCCCAGCACTTTGGGAGGCAGATCACCTGAGGTCAGAAGTTTGAGACCAGCCTGACCAATATGGTGAAACCCCGTCTTAAAAAAATTTTAAAAAGAGACTTCAGTAAATTTGAACACAATCTTGATGCTTTCTGTAATTCATAATTTCAGGGTTCTCCTCAGTGTTTTTGGGAAGGCATTTTGTTGTTGTTGTTGTTGTTTTGAGACAGAATCTTGCTATGATCACTGCAGCCTTGACCTCTCTGGCTCAAGCCATCCTCCCCACTCACCCTCCCAAGCAGCTGGGACTACAGGCATGTGCCACCATTCCCAGATAATTTAATTTTTTATTTGTTTGTTTGTTTAGAGGCAGGTCTCACTATGTCGCCCAGGGTGATCTCAAACCCTTGGGGTCAAACAATCCTCCCACCTTGGCCTCCCAAAGTGCTGGGATTACAGGCATGGGCCACCATGCCCCGCCTTCCTCAGAGTCTTTCCTTGAAAAGCAGGGCACATTATTATGAGGTAGTGATGGCCAAGATGTCTGAGGTCGTGACAGCCGAGATATCTGGAAATGTGTGAGGTATTTGCTGCCTGAAATTCAGTCTCTAGCTATGAACATTGCCTTTTTTCAAACAATTTTTAAAGCATTATTAAAACAGTTAGGCTGCAAAGACATTAATTGCAATATTTCTTTATGGCATTTGTTTTCACCCAGACTCCTCTGAGCCCTAGAATTCCAAAGGGGGAGCCTCGGGGCAGCCTTGGGAGATGAGACAGAGACAAGCCAAGTGAGGGCCTGGGTGCCTTGAGGCAATGCTGCTTTTATATACTCGTTATTGGTTTTCCATTTAGGATTTTCAGACACATCAATAAATCCCTGGTGCAAAGTTTTTTATGACTAGTCATTCCACCATTTATGGTCATCAGAAGCACTTATCCACTTATTCAGGGTGAATCCTCCTTTATATATGATTTATTTATTTATTCTTTTTGAGGCAGGATCTTGCTCTGTCACCCAGGATGTAGTGCAGTGGCTTAAACTCCTGAGCTCAAGCAATCCTCTCACAGCAGCCTCCTGAGTAGTGAGGACTTAACAGGTGCTCACCATCATGCCCAGCTAATGAATCCTCCTTTCAAATATACACATGCGCGCGCGTGCACATGCACACACACACACACACACACACACACACACACACCACTGCACCACTGCAATCACAATATGATGCATAGATTCATTCACTCATTACCTATTTCTCATAAACTTGTTGAGGGCCTATGTACCTAGCACCTACTAGTCAGCATCATGTAATTGATGGAGTTTGAATAGCAGCATAAGAAAATAGATGTGAGAGGCTAAGCACAGTGGCTCATGCCTGTAATCCCAGCACTTTGGGAGGCCCAGGCGGGTGGATCACCTGAGGTCGGGAGTTCAAGACCAGCCTGACCAACATGGAGAAACCCCATCTCTACTAAAAATACAAAATTAGCCCTGCATACTGGCACATGCCTGTAATCCCAGCTACTCAGGAGGCTGAGGCAGCAGAATCGCTTGAACCCAGGAGGTGGAGGTTGTGATGAGCCGAGATTGCCCCATTGCACTCCAGCCGGGCAAACTAAGAGTGAAACTCCATCTTAAACAAATAAGTAACAGAATAGATGTGAGGAGGG